AGCCCTAAACAAAAAACCCTAAACCCTAAAACCCTAAACCCCTAGCACAAGGTCTACCGTCTACCACTGGCCAGTCTCGGGCGCCTCTCGGAGCAAGCGACAGTCACTTGCGGGTGACGCTGCGGGACCCTTTGGGCGATCGTGGTTAGATATATATATATATATACATACATACATACATACATACATACATACATACCTACCTACATACCCACATACACACACACACACATATATATATATATATTCCGAACCACCCTCCACAGCGTAGCTGTCTGTGTATGTGTACCTATATATACATGTATTTTTTGATTTTTATTTAACTATTTTCTTTATTTATATTTTTAATTATCTGTTTATTTATTTGTTATATATTTATGTTTACTATATATGTCTATATATATATATATTATATACAAATATGTATTATACTTATATATATATAATAGAATATTGAGAGAAAGAGAGAGAGAGAGAGAGAGAGCTTGTGCGGTGTACGATATGTACTTCGTAACGTACAATTTGTTTGTAATACCCATAGTACCTTTATTTTCGTACATATAAGTGTATTATACATATAGATATGTATATCTCTCTCTCTCTCGATATATATATATGTATACACAGTGTACGACGCATGGTTTTCGGGTTGTGAAGATGATGACTTAGAACGAGCACCCGTGCGACTTTGTTACACATATATACCTTCAACTTCCGGAGACCACATGCTACTTCTAAACCTGCACTTGTGCGCGACACGACCGCCCCATAGCTAGAACGCAACAGAGGAGCACCATTTCCAATTCTACGGCTTTCCATGCAGCAGAAAAGGCAGCAGCAACAAGTGCAACGACTCACCAGCATCGGCAACCAACTAACGCCAACAGACAAGCTCCGAAGGCTTGGAATCCCCTAAGCAGCTAAACCCTAAACCGCCAAGGACCACACTGATGCTCCAAACTGCACCGTGCGATTCCGGCCAACTTCGCTTCTCGGAGAGAACTGAAGCCTCCTCGGCCATAAGAGGCCACAGAGCATAAGGGCACGGTTTAGGGTTTAGGGATACCTAAACCCTCAGCCCTAAGCCCTAAACCCTGATCAAACCCCTGAACCCTACACCTTGAATGCAAAGCCCCATGCTCAAAGGGCGTGCGCGTTGAGGAAGCCCGTGGCTCTGGTGGTCAGGACCATCCGACTTGGATAACAGAGGGGCCTTAATATTTTTAATAGGGCTTTGGGGTATACAATAACGATTATGAGGAACCCGGTTTGGGGGTATATTATAGCATAATTATAATAAGGAGCCCCCCAAAAAATGAGGCATGGCAAGGCAAGGACACAGAGTGTGATCACTGTGCACTGGTCTAAGTAGGGGTTTAGGATTCAAGGGTTTGGGGTTTAGGGCTCTAGAGCTTTTCAGGGTCCTGTGTGGGTGAGTATCTAGAGCCTGGGTCAATATGGGGGTTCCCGAAAATAGGGGACCCTAATATAGCATTTTAAATAGAAGGATCCTTGCTATAAGGACCCCCAAAATAAGGCGCCCCTTGTTTTCAGAAACTCCCTCATGGCACAGCAAGTTCCAGGATACATGTAGCAACATTATCCGTTTAATTGGGAAGCAGGCAGGACCAAGCAGATTTCGAGAGAAATGGTGCTTGTATGACCCCACTGGCTCGGCCACGACTGGGCTGGAAATGAGTGGAAACAGGCCCAAAACACCTGCAGCGACATTGACACTAGGTTTCCGACCTACCTGAAGCCCAAAACCCGTGGCTCTGCGGCTCACTACTACAGTTCGAGCATAAGACTTCTTAGGTTACTGAAGTGTCCTTAAGCGCTGTAAGTTACCACAATAAGCATCTATGATAAAGTACTATGGTTTGCTTATGATGGGTAACTTAAGTTACCCTAAGCCCTAAACCCCTAAACCCCTAAACCCTAAAACTAAAACCCTAAACCCCGAAACCCCCTAAACCCCTAAGCCCCCAAACCCAACAAGAGTTCCAGGTTAGCCTCTTCGGGCTCATGGTCTGGCAAAGTGCCCGCAGCCGCACAGAACCACCAGCTCTGCTTGGACGTTTTAGGGTTTTAGGGTTCAGGGCTAGGTTTTTTAGGGTTTAGGGCTGATAGGGTTTTGGGTTTACTTGGAGGTTCATGGGTAGGTATAAGTGGGGTTATAAGTCCCCTAATATGGGTGATAACTATAGTTACCCTACTTATAACACCACTTAACAACTACCCCTAAACCCTAAACCCTACAGAACCCTGAAAAGGTACCCTTTAAGGGAGCCCAAAAGAACCCACTTATAACCACCCATGAACCTCCAAGTGCCTTTATCCCCCAAGGAAGCCTCGGGATTGTAAGGTTCCTATCCGAGGGTTCCGACGGTTTAGGGATCCTGGGGTGTAGAATTTAGGGTTTAGGGATCCGAGGGTTCCGAGGGTTTAGGGTGTATCCCTAAGAAGCCCAGCTTGGTAAGGATTCTGAGGTTTAGGGTTTCTAGAGATTCGGGGTTTAGGGTTTAGGGTTTATCCCCAAGAAGCTTAGCTTTGTAAAGATTCTGGTGTTTACGGTTTAGGGTTTATCCCAATGAAGCCTAGCTTTCTAGGGAGAAGAAGATACGGCTGTGCCTTGAATTTGTTTAGGTTTTTAGGGCTTTTAGGTTTTAGGGTTTAGAGTTTAGGTTTTGGGGTTTAGGACCCGCCAGTTGCAATAGGCCTGGATGCAAAATGGTTTAGGCTTTAGGGTTTCGATTTTAGGGTTTAGGTTTTAGGGTTTAGGCTTCAAGGGTACGTGCGCTTGTACGCTCTGCCATGCGATCAGTGCATGCTGCGAGCGTGCGTGTCGTGTTCGACTTTAGCAGTGCCGCCGCATGAGCACAAGTCCACGACTGCAGCAGCAAGCAATATAGAAGCCTAAATAATTACCAATAATATTTTTAAGGGTTCCTTATTATAAAAATACTATAAAGAGCCCACAACCGTGTTTTAATTATTAAGGCCCCTACAGTAGTTGTGCGTTGTCCCGAACCTGCGGCTGTTCTGTATTTCTCCAAAAGTATACTATAAGCGTCCGCCAGCTGTGCTCTGTCGTGTTCTTGTATACGCATGCACGCATGTACTCATGTGACATGTGTGTCCATATGGCAAAATAAGTTGTATACACATATTTGAGAGAGCATATGGGTTTGGCTTGTTTTTCTTCAACACTCAACAAACTCAGAAAGGTGATTTGTGGCGATGCCACTGCACGTGGCGCCGCCTTCGCAATTGCAACAGGCATCGGAGATTCAGGTTTCTTCATGTGTCCCATCTCCCCGAAGTTGCAACTTGTCTGAAGCCCATCTGGTCGGCGTCGGGCAGAATTTATCCATGGAGATTTCCAAGTTTGCGTTCTGGCCACAAAGCTGCCTTATAAGATGCATCCCGCAGGTCAGGCATCCCTGCCGAAGCAGGCAGGCAAGCAAACGGCCGAGATGTGGACCGTCGAGGTAGGGTCATCCAGGTTTCGTTCCATTAGGCTTGGGTTGATACTCGCCAAACAATTTAATATGGATACTACAGTGGTTCGACAAGGGTTCCATAAGGGTTCGATATTATGGGAGCCTGAGCAATGGGTCCTGGGTGTTTACGGGTCTTCGATCCTCCAGCCAAACAGTTCGGATTGCAGGTCTTGTGGAGGAGGTATGGCGTGGCTATGAATGTACCGCTTGTGTAATGAGGCTTCTGTTGTGTTTTTTGAGATTTATTCATGACTACCCGAAATGCAGAATCCAGACCGGAATTTCGGTCCGAATTTTAAAGAGTCTTCCACTAGGGCAAATCTGTAGAATAACTCTAGTGCCTGGGAGTACTTGTACCGTTCCTCTACCAGACGTTGGCTGCGCTGGAATATATCTCAAAATCCCCGTTGTGGCTATGCAGGCCCATGTCCCATCCTTACAGACGGCCACCAATCAACAGAGATGCGGAGCCCCGATGGTGCTAAAGAGGTGTACTGGTACTATTCCTTACTTAGGGTTCCTCTTCATAGCTATACTGTAACCTACACCCCAGAACCCTTCTACAGTGATGATGGTCCCTGAACTTTTAGACACGAAACCCTGTAACAATAAACACCCTTTGCAGAACCCGCGGAAACCTTTAAGCTACCCTTAAACGAGCCTACTCTGATGATTAAGACCCTAAACCCTAAACCTTAAGAGCCTGTCATCGACCAGAGGTGTCACCCACCCGCGGCGCGGTGGCCGTCACCTTCAAAAAGTCTTCAGAGCCTCATGGGGTCTGAAATTTCAGGTTTCGGTCTTATGGTTTCAGGGTTTAGGGTTTAGGGGGCTTAGCTGGCGGACGAGGGACTAACTACCAGGCGTTCTTGCTTGCAAGCCTGCAGCAAAGGGTTTAGGGTGAACACGAATCAAGTCCAGATGCCAAAAAAAGGGTGAACACGAAAGGCCGTGATGCAAGGATCTGGCTAGTCCCCAAGCCCAGTTGTCAGGAATAAGGGTTTGGTGTTCAGGGTGTAGGGCTTGCAGGCTGTCCGAACCCAAGCAAAACTAAATAAGGACGAAACCAGGGAACTCGCAATAATGAGCTAAACCCTAAACCCTAAACAATGGGGTTCAGGTAGGGCTCAGAGCTTCGGGTTTGGGGGTTTTTAGTTTCAGCGAAGAGTGTCGGGGCCAGACTTCTTGTTCAGTTTAGGGTTTTGGGTTGAGGGTATTATAGGATCCTTAAAGGAGGGTTTACGGTTTAGGGTTTAGGGTATTATTGGATCCTTTAGGGAGGGTGGTTCACAAGCTCCATGCAGCAAGACCCTTTCACCTTCAGTAAAGAAACTCGCTCCATGCCCACATCTCTCGAAGTGTTTGTCTGGGCCCTTGGAGTATGCATAAACAAGAGCTTTGCAAGTCTTCAGCAGGAGAATTGCAGGGGTCTTAAGTCGCATGTGCACCTGCGCAACACCACTGGGGTGCCTTGGGCATACGCGTATCACCAATTGGACATACGTCATACGTCTAATCACCTGGTTGTGCGGCATTGAGGACTTTCCAGCAAACTGGTGATAGAGGTCTTGAGAAATAACAGCATCCCCTTACTGTCCCTATTTAAGTATCTCACGGACTACGAAAACAAAGGGCCCCACATCACACCACGGTAAGGACTTTGTCGCCATCAACCGTTCTGCACGCTTGGGCGTTTGCATGGAAGTGCGACCCAAGGGCCTGCAGGTGAGATGCAGCGGGAGGGCTGAGGGTATCGAGCATGTATGCATGTATGTGTGTGTATGTACGTATGTAATGTATGTATGTATGTACGTATGTATTTATGTATGTATGTGCGAATGTATGTATGTATGTATGTATGTATGTATGCATGCATGTATGTATGTAGGTAGGTAGGTAGGTAGGTAGGTAGGTAGGTAGGTATGTGTGCTATGTAATGTTATGTAATGTTATGTAATGTTATGTAATGTTATGTAATGTTATGTAATGTTATGTAATGTTATGTGATGTTATGTAATGTTGTGTAATGTAATGTAATGTTATGCAATGTAATGTAATGCAATGCAATGCTATGTAATGTAATGTAATGTAATGTAATGTAATGTAATGTAATGTAATGTAATGTATGTAATGTAATGTATGTTATGTTATGTATGTATGTATGTATGTATGTATGTATGTATGTATGTATGTATGTATGTATGTATGTATGTATGTATGTATGTATGTATGTAATGTATGTATTTATGTATGCATGCATGTATGTATGTACACACGCATACAGATGCCCACGCACATATGTATGTATATATATATATATACATACATGTATGTATATATATATATACATAAGGTATATACCAGTTGCATACACATACACACATGCACTGGACATGCACATGTCATATAGATAGGGTTTACGGTTTAGGGTTCCGGGTTTCGGGTCTCGGGTATGGGCAGGGGTTGGGTTCTGAAACGAAGCGGCCTGGGTGAAAGCCTTCGAAGGTTTGCTCTGGATTCAAGATAGTTGCCTCCCGCATAGTACGTTGAAAATGCGATGGCTACTATGGGGCACTTGCACTTCTTAAGAAACAGTTTCACGACTTGATATTCTCTCATTTGCCAGCATGTGCTATGCAGGCATGCCTGAGCAACTTCGTTGTGCGGGCGGGGGAAGACGTGCAGTATGGTTGGTCGGAACCGCACGAGGACCAGCAGCTTGGGAATTGTGGGGGTACAGGGTACGGCATAACCCTACAAGCCTGCAAGGCGTAACGGGCAGCAGAGATTATACTTACCAGTTGCAGGTCTCAGCAGCTTTTTGAACATCTAGTGGAACCATGTGGAACCCAATACTCTGCAAGCAACTGTACCGTGCCGTCTTTCTGTGACCTCGTCCAGTCAAGACCTCCTTCTGCAGCTTGGCTCCATGTGCCTGCCCATAGTCCCCATAGTAGTTCCTTTCTGGGGTTCATATTTAGAATTCTATAATTCTATAAGGTACTCCCAAAAAGTAACTACTATGGGGCCTATGGGTGTTTGACAGGAAGGGACGAATAGCCACAGTGTCGACATCATCCTGAAGACAAGGAGAGGAAACAGAGAAGAAGTGACGCAGCATGAGGCCGGCCGCTTCCTCGCTTGCCAGCGGGCGGAGACAGCGTAGCTATATGGGAGTTTCCGAAAATTAGGGGTACCTTATTTTGGGGTCCTTATAATAAGGATCCTATTATTTGGGGTACTATATTAGGGTCCCCTATTTTCGGAAACACCCATATTCATGTATGAGGGGCTTCGAAACTCGAAATGTCAGACCTCCCGCCCTGGAGGTGCGTGATGTCCGACGCACCGAGCACTTCGTCTTCCCTGAGCTTGGCCTCACTTTGCTTCTGGGACAGACAGGCTCACCCCTGGAGGGTGCACCAAAGAGTACTGCAAGAGCACAGCGTTTTTTTTCAAAGGAGAGCGCAGCTTCTTCAGTGTGACGGGTAAACTTACATGGGATTCAGTGTTTATAGGGACTAAGGGATAGGTTATTCGTGTCTGCTAGTTTCTCTCCCTAAACCCTAAACCCTAAACCTATGTGCTATCGTCGTCGTATTTGGAACCTCGCCAGGCATGTCCCAGTTGTGAGTGCTGAAACCGCTGTCCTCTGCATTTCCCAGAGACCCCGCTGGATTTTTCTACCACAGCCAGACCTCCACCTCGACTGAAGAGCCGGTTTAGGGTTTAGGAAGCTCCCTATGGCCCCATAGTAGTTCCGTTTTGGGGTTACCTTATAGGATTCTATATATGAACCCCAAAAAGGAGGTACTTTAGGGCCTATGGGTAGTGCTGCGGCTTGGCGATGCTACTGTTTTCTGTCACTTCCCGGCCGACTTCCCAAGCTCGGGTGCAAAAAATACAAAAGGGTTTAGGCACTCCAAACCCGAACACATTTAAGCAGGTTGAGATTTATGGGCCGTGAGGTTGTCTTGTCTCTGCAGGCTTTTCGTGAAAACGCGAAGAACACATGAAATGCACGACTGTGGCTCCTGTGCCCTTAAAACCCTAAACCCGCTTTTCGCAGGGACTGGCTCAGTGCTGAGTCTCGAAGATCTCAAGGACTCACGAAGGGCTCGTCCAGGCATTCCTATAAGGGGCTCCCAGAAGGTTTCTGTCAGGATTCCTTGGTATTCTTATAAGAACTTCCCGGTAGGTTCCTACCAGTACACGGTTCCTATACCTAAGAGTCCCGATAAGGACCTCATAATGCTTCTTCATGGCCTTGTAAGGGTTCCTTCACGACTTCCGATACGAGTTCACAGTGGGAAGGCCCGGATTCTTGCAGACTTAAACAACGCCCAGCCCTCCGCGACTCCAACCTCCTTTGCGCAGGACGTGCGCCGCTCTGGGCAAGAAAGCGTGTCCAACAAGGGCACGACGAATCTCGGACCGTGTTGGGATTGTGGGTTCCTTTTTTTCTTCTTAATCATACCAGATGTGAGGCTCCTACTTACAGTCTCCATTGTAGTTCCTTTTTTGGGTTGTCAATTTTTGCAACTAGGATTTCGTAAGTAACCCAAAGCAAATTACAATGGAGACTCTTGGTATAGTATACTCCTGGCTTCTCTGGCTTTCATCTTCCATCCTTCTCTGGTTTGTTTCTCGATGGTCCTGGTTCTTTCCCTCCTTGAAATTCCGTCTATCTGCGATCTTCCCGACTTGTATGCAAGCGGCGGAGGAGTTTCGGGTCCAAAATATGATGTAGAAACCTATGATTCTGAGGGTTCTCTGTTATAAGTATGCTAGAGGGGAGCCCAAACCCCCTGGTCTAATCATTAAGNNCCCCCCCCCCCCCCCCCCGAAATATCCTAGAAATGTAACAAGGGAGCCCAAACCTCTAGACCCTAGTCTAGTTATTTGAGGCCCCCCAAAAAACTACCTTCTGTAGGGTCTCTGGAGCGTCACGAAAAAAACCTTCGAAGCACCAAAGGAATGAGCCCTAAACCCTGTACTATACCAGAGACTACACATAGGCCCCATAGTCTTTCTTTTCGGGATTGCCTTATGGAATTCTAAATACGAACCCCGAAAAAGGAACTACTATGG